TTCTTAGCTTTTAGGCCTTAATGGGCCATCGAAAGTCAGTTGATGGGCCAAGGACATGTTTGGGCTTAAGGGAATGCCCATTTGAGGAGTTGGGCCCAATTTAGAAAATTGGGCCATTAGTGGGCGTTTAGTGGGCCATTAGTGGGCTTGGAGAGATTAGATGGAATTGGGCCTAGGTTATGGTCCAAATTAGACCAAGGGGTAAAATGGTCATTTTACCTTAAGAAGGATTATGGATTTTGACTAAGTGTTGTTTTAATGATAACCGTGAGATTCAGCACTCAGCTTTACGACGTGAGTTTACTCCTAGGAACGGGTCTAAGGCACCAATGCCGGCCTATTTATGTATGTTAGCATGTACCAGACTTCGGTCCGATGCCGGGCAGTGCCCGATGTAGGTTTATGTGTTTATATGCTTCGGGACTTCGGTCCGATGCCGGGGAAAGCCCGAGGAATGTTTTTATGCTTGATGTCTTCGTGATTCTTGCATGTGCTTGTTTATATGTTCCGGACTTCGGTCCGATGCCGGGGAAAGCCCGAGGAATGTTTATATGCTATGTTATATGTTTCCAGATTTTGGTCCGATGAATGTTTATATGTTTATATTATGTGCTTATTATGTGTATTGTTGATATGTTGATATGTATACCGAGCTTTGCTCGATACTGGGCGGCGCCCGATGCTGGGCGGTGCCCGATGTAGCGGGCAAGGCCAATGTTATGTTATGTGATTATGTGTATGATATGTGGTAGTTTGGGGAGACTCACTAAGCTTCGTGCTTACAGTTTTCAGTTTTGGTTTCAGGTACTTCCGGTAGCAAGGGGAAGAGCTCGAGATGATTGCAGTACACACACCATTTGTTTAGCCCGAGATGCTTATACTCTGATATATTTTGACAGATGTTATGATATTTTGAGATACATGACTTATGATTTTTATATGATATTTGGATGACTATGGTTTTCTTAATGATTTAAAATGAAAATTTTGGACTGTATTTTTAGGATATTTCAGAGTTGTTTATTTTTCTTATAATATTGAGCGTGTAAGATCTTTCTTTTGTTCCAATTTTAAATAAAAATATATTTCAACCCAACACATATAAAACCCTTATTACCAGGAAAATTATTAAAATAAAATTTTATTTTGATCATAAAGTAATAAATGATTGATAATTAATAAAAGAACGTGTGATAAGTTACAAGATGGAAACATATTGAAGAAAAAATCAAACATGTTAAAATAGGATATTCATAAGAAAAAAATACATGTTAAATTCAGGGAATTGCCATAATATTTATAAAGTGTTTGGTTTTATCCTAAGTCCGATTTTATGTTCATTAATGTCATGATATTGGCAAAAAATGTTTGGTTTTTTACTATTTTACCTGTCATAATAAGTTTTCTAGGTTACTATGATATTAACTAGGGAGTGTTTGAGATTGCTTATTTATAACAACTTATGCTTATTTATAAAAATGATTATTAACTTATCTGATGTCAAAACGAAGTTCTTAAAAAGCGATTAGAATAGTTTATTCGAAACCAAAACATAATAAATTGTTTTTTAGTGTTTGATAAATTATATTTATTCGCATAAAATGACCAAAATTGGCATCTTATATATTTGTATCTAAAAAGGAAAATTAAGTAAATTAGCCATTATAAATGAACTTTTTAAAGAAAATAACCATTTTTTCTAAGTTTTTGAAAAATGATTATTTTCTTCCAAATGCCCATTTACGAATGTTCTTCTTAAGTTATTTTTTGCAATTTTTTTTTTCAAAAAAGTCTCTTCAGTTATATCTAACATGTCTAATTCAAAGAGTTGAATATCATCATTTTTCAATCAATGTTTGATTTTAAGTCATATTATCGTATATATCTATACATTATGTTTGTTTAACTTTTTGTAATATTTTAGTTAAAAACATTTTTTTCTTGAAATTAGAGAATTGTTTATCGGATTTCAGATTTGTTCTTAAAATTCCAAAGTTTTTTATTTTTTCAAACTCCAAAATTTCAATCCATAATCCGGAATATTGGCCCGAAATTCCGTGGGGAATTTTTAGTTGGTATACCAACGGATCGAAATCTGTAGTAATACCATCAAAATTGTCATAGAAACTTGAAACTTAGGGTTTTTTTTTTATTCTATTGGATCAAATTTCCCATCCCAATCATTTACGATACCCTCATTCTCAAAACTCTCAATTCACCTTTCACAATCGAAAATAAAAATCCTCAATCACAATCCCCTCTTACATGTTGGTATATATCATTACCGATATGTATCAATCAAATTTATTGGTAGGATACACGGTTTTGGAGAAATATGTGCAGTACCGTAGCATTTCCACCTCTAGTGTATATGCCATATATGTTTATTTCTCCTACGTCAATGACATCCTTCGATTTGCTTTTAGAAAAAAATAATAATAAATCTTTAGACACAGTCACACTATAATTATTTTTATAATCTCATTGTTCAAGAAAAATAAAAAAATTAATAACGAGTTTAGTGATAACAAGATTGTTTGCCATATAAACAATTGTAACTTCTTTCTATATTATCAATTAACTTAGGTATAAAGTATTGAAGATTTATTTGTATACAAGGATGATGGCATATTGTTTCTGCTATAGGGGGTGAGAGTGTATGACATATGAGTGGTTATAGAAACAAGAAATGATATACATTTTTAAATTTCCTACACACAAATAACATTAAAACAGTTTGATGAGCCAAAAAAATTCAAAGATAAAGTAAAAAAAAAAGTTAATTTTGACAGGTGTAACATTATTCGTTAAATAGTTATTTCTATATGCAAAGGTCTTGCATTAATAACTTAATCAAATACTGCCAAAAACATAGTAAACGCCTTAGTATTGCAGCTAATAAATTTATTTTTATTTTACTATCAACTAACTAATTGCATAATAGTAGAAGAAATTAGTATATCTAACTCCTTTTCATTTGGGTAAAATACAAAAATGGTCCCTATGGTTATATGTTATTTTTGAATAAAGTCAAGAGTTTTTAATTTGAACACGGATGGTCTAAAAGTTTGTTATTGTCACAAAAATAGTCCCTAAGACAAAAGTACCCTCCTTATTACATTTTTTTTGATCATTTATTTATGATTAAAATCTTTTTAAACCAATTAGGACCTACTCTCCACCACTCCCTCCCAACCCCAACCCCCACCACCCTACCCTTCTCTTCCCTGACCACCATTTTGTCGTCTTCAAGAGATCACCCCAACCCCAATTCCACCCTCCATTCCACTCTTATGATAATCTCATCTGATCCTCTACCCCTTAATTTCCCCTTTCAATGTCACTACCCCACTACTTGTGGAAACATTAAACTAAAATAACATATCATAAAGTGGTGGGTTAAACAAAGTGGGGCAATGATGAAGTTACAGTAGAGTGAAGAACTGTCAACGGCAGACCCAAAAAACTCTGAAAAATGTGAGAATTTACAGTGGAGTGAAGAATTGCCAATGCCAGACCCAAAAAACTCCGAAAAGATGAGATACGTAAGCCCTACTTTTAAAGGTTTTGAGGTTCAAATATATAACCGATTATGTTAGGGATTTATAGGTTAAAATTACAAAATTTTCATTGTTACTGCCATCACTGACATTAATGAGAGATTGAGAGACCAAGATTGTATGTGGTAGGGGGATTGTGTGTTTCTTCCACCTCCAGATCTATGTCTTGCAACTTCATTTTTGGTTCTTGTGCTTTCTTTCGATGTCGAAAGTTTGTTTGCAGGAATGGAACCCAAATTTAATTTTGGGTTCGATAGTATTTTCTGAATTCTTACCAGTATTTAGATCTTAACCAGTGTAGAGGCTGTGTTTAGGTAAACTGTTCTTATATTGGAAACATTCAAAGCTTGAAGATGAAGACGATGAGTTTAAAGAGAAAAATGGATGGTTTTACAAAGAGAAACATCAGGTAGGGGAGAAGGATGGTTGAAGTCCAACCGTTACCACCTCCGACAACCAATTGTATTCACATTCGAATCCCCACACCTCACCTTCCTCCTTATCCTTCTCCCTTTCCGATCAAATATTTCAAAGCAACAAAAGTTTCTGAACTTACACTTGATCAGGATATGGAGCTAAAGTAGTTTTCAAGGAGGAGTTGCTTGATTCCTCTATGAATCTGGATCAAATGGGTGGTGGTCGGTGGCACTAAAGTAGAGAGCGGGGAAGAGGGGTGTGGCAAAGGTAATTGGATTATGTACTGATAGGGGATGTGGTTTTTATGGTATTTCAAATAATAAGTTATAATAATAAACAAAAAATAATATTTAATACTCTCTCTATTCCATAATTATTGTCCAGTTTTGACTTTTAAAGTCTTTATTCATCAACTTTGACCTTAAATATTTTTATTTGTGTTTTGTAGTAGTTGATGAAATTTATAACAATGAAAAGACATTTAAAACACAATCCATTCATATATTTCGCATCAAGTATTATATATTTAAAACAAAAATATTTAAGGTCAAAATTGAAGAATAAAGACTTCAAAAGTCAAAAGTGAACAATAAATATGAGACGGAGGTAGTAATTAAAAATTTTAAAAATATCTAAGGGTATAGTAGTCATTTTATGTGGGTTAATGACCACTACTGCAATAAAATAAAACAACAGGGACTGTTCGCGCTACAATTACAAAAACTGGACTTGATTCAAGAAAACCACAAAACCACAGGGACAAAAAATGAAATTTAGTCTTTCATTTCAAACAAAATATACAACAAAATAGAGCACGAAAACAACTAATTGGAATGTGACGGGTTGCGCCGTTGCTCGACGGCTGAAAACGCCCATTAATTTCGCCGGCTGCCACCTCTTTATCTAGCACCTTCTCCTCCTTTATAAACACTTTTCTTGACTTCATCTAATTAAAAGTCTCTTCTCAAGTTGACTTTTTTATTTTTCTCCACATATAATCATTAGTTTTTCTTCTTAATTATAATGACGAAGTTACTGAAAGGACAACGTCTGAAGACTGACGAGGAAATGAAGATGAACACCAATTCTGTAGTCATTACGAAGACCAAAAGAACACGAAAAACAGTGCCTCGTGACTCACCTCCGCGAAGAAGCTCCATTTATCGTGGTGTTACAAGGTCAAATTAAATTCCTTTTTTCATGTTTTTTTATATATTTTTTTAATAGTTTTTAACATTCTATTTTCTTTTCATTTTGATTCAGACATCGATGGACAGGGAGATACGAAGCTCACTTATGGGATAAAAACTGTTGGAACGAGTCTCAGAACAAGAAAGGCCGGCAAGGTTGGTTTTTTAAATAATTACTTCTCCATTATATATTTTTAAAGTATTTCAATATAAAATTAAAACAAGATATTAATCATTTGTTGTTGTTCTTCTTGATGCTTTTGTCAATGGTGGTTGATTTGATGGCATGCTAATTTAATTCAATCCAGTTTATCTTGGTAAGTTCAAATACGTTTCGTATATAATTTTAGCAAATTAATAAAACTTTATATTAGAGATTTGTATAATTTATTTGCTAAATATTTCAGGTGCTTATGATGACGAAGATGCAGCTGCTCATGCTTATGACTTGGCTGCGCTTAAGTATTGGGGTCCGGACACCATCTTAAACTTTCCGGTACTTTGATATTTTAATATCATTCAAAGGCAAAAATGCTTCAACTATGAAAATATTTCTAGAAATTTTATATATCTTCAAATATTGCTTATTGATACACATTTTTTTGGTAGTTAATGACATATCATAAGGAACTGAAAGACATGGAAGGTCAATCAAGAGAGGAATATATTGGATCGCTAAGAAGGTTTTTAGTTACATTTAATAATTATAACTCTAAAACATTTAATTGTGTTAAATCAATATCATGATGAGATGAACTTTATAATTTTATTTACATAATTTCGCTTTTGATATATAGAAAAAGCAGTGGATTTTCTCGTGGAGTTTCAAAATATAGAGGAGTTGCAAGGTATGATTTAGATCAATTTAATATTTGTTTCATTCTCTCAGCTCTTTCTCTTGTCTCTCACTTATAGTATTAGATACATATATACACGTACATATATACCCTATTAAATTAATTGGTATAGATTCCTTAAAAATACAAAATAAGTGATATTGCCTGAAAAATTAAGAATTGAATTTTTATTATTATTTTATTTACTTCCTATAATTTTATATATTAATTACTTATGGTGTATCGGCTTACAAATTTCTGCAATTCAAATGTCGATAACAGGCATCATCACAACGGGAGATGGGAAGCTCGAATCGGGAGAGTTTTTGGTAACAAATATCTTTACTTGGGAACATATGGTGAGCAATTAATTTTTTATATCTTCTATATTTATGGTATATAAATTTGTCTTCATGGAAAGAAATCGTTAAAATCATTTATGACATATTAATTTGCTAAATAAACAGATTAAGTTTATATTGATTTTGGTTTTTTCCAGCTACACAAGAAGAAGCAGCGGTGGCATATGACATGGCAGCAATAGAGTATCGTGGACTTAACGCCGTTACAAACTTCGATCTCAGCCGTTACATCAAATGGCTAAGACCTGACAACAATGGCACTGTTGTCACCCCACCAAACCCTAATATCAACATAATCGATATCGACACTAATTTAGCATCAACCACCGACATTAATGACGTCGTAGGATTGAACTTTCACCACAACCACAACCACCATGAAAACCAACCACCAGAACCCATGGTGTCACCCACTATGTCATACTCTTCTCGGTCAACTACTGCCACGTCAGCCCTAGGACTCTTGCTACAGTCTTCCAAGTTCAAAGAAATGATGGAGATGACAACTGCCGCAGAGTTCACCTCAACAACGTTAACATGCGATTCAAGTCCACCACCACCACCACCATGTAACAAGTTCCCGGAGGAAATTCAGGTGCATTTCGAGAGCCAGGATTTTGGTGGTTATAATAATGGTGGTGATGATTTTATATTTGGCGACATGAATTTCATGAATAACATGATGCATTCTAACTTCGACAAGTGAACACCCCAGTTCCACCATAAACGACCAATTAAGACCAGCTGCCTGGTTAAAAAATGGCTTGTTTTTAGCAACTATTGTAAGTTAAATTGGATACTCATTTTTAATTTGTATTTGCATGTCAAATCTAAATACTATGCATGCGAACTAATAAGACCAATGGAATATATGAAGTACCCCCACATGAAAAAAGAAAATTCTTTATTCTTATGGAGAGGGAAAATGTCCATTTAGATTGATTTTTATTTGCATTTTTTGTAGATAAGATTAAATTAAGCAGAGAAGATGTTGTAATTTATCATTCGTATTTATCGATAATAAAATTCATATTTATTTGTTTACCAAATTACTATTATATCTCTTTCTTTGTTGTGAACTCATGTTATTGTTATATTTATTCTGTATATAGGGACGAGTAGGTACTTTATTTGAATTTGCATTAATATCATATTCACAAGTCACAAACATTAATTAAAGACCCTTGAGAACAAACCCTTATAAATTCAAAGAACTGTGTGATACCCTTTCATAACTTCATTCCAAAATGTCTAGCACTAGCTCTCATGATGTTCGATTAAGAGTTGAAGTGTAAGATATCGTTCCTTTCAACAATTTTCATATCCTCGATAACTGATTTAAATGTTTGTTCTCTTCTTTTTGTTTTTGATGGGTTGAATAAATTTTTTGAGCCAAACCTCTGAATCGTTGTTGCCTTAAGTCTCCTTCATCCCTAATTAACTTTTGTTTCGTGATGATAAAGTTTATTTTGAGCGATTTTGTCTTTTCTATATGAGGTCAATGAATTTTTAGAAGAAATAACTTAAATCTACTTCACTAGGGGAGAGTTGGGCTTGGAATCAAATGTTATAAAACTTATTAAAGTCACATGTATGGGGATTTTAGTTGGGTTTCAAAAACATCAAGGTGAATGTGAAATGGGCTCCTTATTGGGTTCTCGATTTCCACTCATCTCTTTGACGACATTGAATGGTGACTTCTCTTATTTCTTGAACGACGCCTCCTGGCTTCGTCCTACGCCAAATACCGGCGAAATGAATTTGACGCACGTCATGACCATCTTGACCATCTCTCCTCCATTCGATGGTCATACAACACCATGAAATCGATATTGAAGGTTTGTCTAGGAAATCGATTAGATTTTGTCTCATGAAATCGATTTTGAGATCGAGCCATGAAATCAATTCATGAAATTGATTGAAATCGAGCCATTAAATCGATTGAAATCATGTCGCGAAATTAATTCTAAAACTCATTTGAGAAACCTATTTTGACCTAATTTAGACGAAGCTGTGAAGTTGCAGTAGACTGGGTCTAATGATATGTGTATGTGACGTGAATACAAAAGTAAAATTGGATTTTTTTTGGAAATTAAGTAGAAGTCTACTCGTAATATTTCAGCGAACATTCCGAGTTCGAGCTCATTTACAGGACAAACTCAGTTCTCATAGAGGTTTCCAGGAAAAATTTCACCATATGTGACATTTTTTGAAGACAAAAAGGATTTAACATATCACCTCCACCCCCACATGGAATAAGGGCAATTGGTGTGTTACGCATGTGTGTTTGACTATTTGTTGAGCAAATTGAAGTACGCATAAAAACAGTTGTCTACGAATCATCAAATTCATGTATTGCTACATTTAGAGGGTTTCTGTTGTCTTTGATAGGGATGTTCGGTTCACTTCCAGGTTCTGGAAGAGATTCCACGAGGAGTTGGGTACTCGCATGCATTTCAGTACGGCTTTCCACCCGCAGAATGATGGTCAGAGTGAGCGGACTATCCAAACCTTGGAGGATATGCTTCGGGCTTGTGTATTGGATTTCGGTGGGAGTTGGGATACGTACTTCCCTTTGGCGGAGTTTGCGTATAACAAGAGTTATCATGCCAACATTGATCGACCTCCTTTTGAGATGCTCTACGGGAGGAAGTGTAGGACCCCGATATGTTAGGGTGAGGTCGGTCAGCAAGTCATGGGGAGTACCAAGGTGGTACTCAAGACGACCTAATTGATTTAGTAGGTCTACGTTAGACTTCAGACAGCTCAGAGTCGACAAAAGAGCTACGCGGACAGACGTCGACCAGACTACAAATTTCAGGTTGGAGATATGGTACTCCTGAAGGTGTCACATTGGAAAAATGTCATTCGGTTCAGGAAGCGGGGTAAGTTGGGCCCCAGGTATTTTGGTCATTTCAGGGTTGTAGTCCGGGTGGGCAGGGTGGCGTATCATTTAGATCTTCCGGAGGAACTCAATCAGATTCACAGTACTTTCCATGTCTCTAAGTTGCGGAAGTGTTTGGTTGATGATTCCGTAGTGGTTCCGTCGGAGGATATTTATGTGGATGACTTCTTGAACTACGTTGAGAGACCGGTGGCGATCCTTGACCGAAAGACGAAAACCTTGAGGAACAAGGTTATGGGATTGGTGAAGGTGAGGTGGCAGCATCGAAAGGGTTCTGAGTGGACATGAGAGCCTGAGGAAGAGATCAGAGAGCATTACCCATGGTTATTTCCAACAATGGACTTTGAGGACGAAGTATGATTCAAGCGGGGGAGAACTGTAACGTTCGACTCGTCAGGTAAAACTCTTAACATTTATTTTCCTTCGTTTGGACTTTTGGGCTCAAGTACGTTGGTCGTACACATGGTACGTCGGGCGTACTCCAATGGTTGCTTGAGGCGAGGTGTCCCCTACGTACGCTGGGCGTACCCATGCGTATGCAGGGCATACATAAGTCAGGGGAAAACCCTAATTTTTAAGGTTTGCACCCTATTTAAGCTTATTAAGTCCTTCAAACCCCTCACCTTATCTGCCTCCATTGTTTTTTTGAGCTAATCTCGAAACCCTGGCCATATTGAGAGTTTTTGGGTGTTTTTTGTGATCTTGAAGAATAAGGAACTTGATGGTGGAGCATTTTTGGAGTTGGAGCTTCAAGATTCGGGGATATCTTCTCTATTGCAAGCTTTTGGAGGTAAAAAGTTCTTACCTTGATGGTTCCTTGCTTACATATCTTTTTGTGGGTAGATTTAGAAGTTTTGGTCCCATAACTTTGGTCTCATGGAGTATGGACTAATCCAGACCATTTGAGCTGTCCTTTTGAGCACTTAGGAGTGCATGGAGTCATAAAAATCAGATCTTGAAGGTTAGAACTCAATCATGCATGAGTTAGTGACCACTTAAGGGAGATATAAGGCTTAATCCTTGGTTTGCGCCCTATTAATACATGCAAAAGCATAAAGTTTGCAAATTTATGGCCTAATACACTTAAATGAGCTTAGATCTGAAGTTGGACGTTAGGTCTTAACGAATTAATACCTCAAAAGCAACCTATGGCTCGCTGGGGCGTACGTCGGGTGTACATAGGTGTACGTTGCGCATACGAACCCGAAGTCCCAATTCCGTGGAGCATCCGAGTACGTCGGTCACCAGAGGGACATTTTGGGCTTTTTAGTTCGGGCCACCTTGGGCTTATGAATTTGGACCCTTTGTAACATCCTGTTTAAAATAGAACGATTAAATAATAAACCCGGAACCCCGAGAAGTAATTTTTATTATTATTTTATGTTATTATAGTCCAAAATCAAATAATAATTAGTGGGGTGTTGGTTTCGGGAAGCCAAATGACGATATTTGAAACTCCAGGGGTTAAAGTGTAATTTCAGGATTTATTTTGAAAAGGATTTTAAAAGGCGGGGTGTAATTGGTAACTTTTGGACTTATTCTGGAAGGATTTATAGGAGCAGGGGCCAAATGGTAAATTTTGGGATTTGGATTGAAAAGAATACAGGAGGATGGATTGAAAGTGGAAGTATGGGCCAATGTTTGAGAGTGAGCGGGACTTATAACCCGTCACCCGCTCGTCCAAAACCCTAACCCTAACAATCTCTCAGCCACCACCACCTTATCCCTCCATCTTCCAGCCGCCGCCAACCTCTTCGTTGCTGCCTTGAACCACCGAACGACTGCCATCACAAATCTGACGATGGGATTGAACCTTGATATCGTGGCTGCTGCTGTTGTTTTCTCAACCGCCGTTCCTTCGTTCCTACGAGTCTCCGTTCGTCATGCTGTTGTTATCGCTGCCGGGTTGCATCGCCACCAAGCTCCGCCATCGCTGGCTGCTGTCGGGACGGAAGAAACACGTTGGTTTCAGTCAATGTTATTGCTCTCTGTGAAGGATCGCATCTCCTCTACTCTCCGTTCTGTTGCTGCCGCTGCTGGACTGTTCCGATGAGAGCGTGGAAACTCCAATTGTTTCTTCTTCTGCGCTGTTTTAACTCTTGCCGATGTCCGTTCGCCGCCGCTCCAGCGGCAGCCTCATCCCGTAGTCACCCACCGACCACTACACGCCACCAGGTGGGTGGTGGTGTTCGTTTTGTTTTTTTAGCATATGTTGACGTGGGTTGCTGCTACGATCGAGCTGTGTTTATGTGGGAGTTTTGTTTGATCGGAAATGTAAAATTAAAGCCATCACCACCACCGTGAGGTGGTGGCTGCCACCTCCGACCACCGCCTGCCGCCGCAGGGCGGCTGTGTGTGTGAGTGTGTGTTATTTGGATATTGTTGTAAATTGTATTGTACGACTGGAATAATCAAGAAAACGACCCGTCACCGCCGTGAGGTGGTGGTTGCCACCTCACGCCGCCATTCTGCCGCCACCAGCCGCCACCTTGGGTGGCTGTGTGCTTTTGTGTGTGTGATTGTTATTTTGGGATGTTTGAATATTTTCGCTAAGAATCATAACCACCACCGCGAGGTGGTAGCCACCGTCGTAAGCTGCCATTGACCACCATTACCCGAGGTGGTAGTAGGTGGTTCCTAACTTGTTTAACCCTAATGGGCCCAAGGAAGCCCTAGTTGACCTAAAAGCCCAACCATGTGACTAATGAGCTAGTATTGGGTTAGAAACCCTAATTAGGGTTTGGAAAACCCTAATGTCATAAAAACCTAATTTTGGGGATTGATCGGGACCCGCACTGGAATTATTTAATAAACTTAAAATATTAATTAATAAGTATTGGCAAATTAACCTAAGGCAATATTGGACTTAATGGATTAAGTCCTTAATGGGTTAAGTAGGAACACTTAACCCTGATCGTCATTTCATGTGAAAACCCTAATTTCACTTGGGCCTTAATTTGGGCCTTTCTTTTGGGGTTTGGTGATTGGTCTATCGATGTGCTATCCAAGAACAAGTAAATAGACTAAAATATTTGGATGGGCTTTAGGATAAGGCCCATGTGAAGGACTTAGGCCCAAATTGGAAAATTGGGCCATAGGTGGGCCATAACTAGGCCTTGATGATTATGTGATATTGGGCCATGGGAATACCAAGAGTTTGGACTAGAATAATTGGATGGGCCTTAAGGAAAGACCATGTAGAGGTCTGGACCCAATTTGGAAATTTGGGCCATATGTTGGGCTTTGGCCCATTACTTGACTTTAGAGCCTTTGGAGTGTGATTTGGACATTGGGCTTGGAACCCAATTATTAATTGGGTATTGTTTGATGTTGATAGTTCGGGAATCTATCAACCAGCAGCTATAGTTTTATCCGCGGGACTTCAACAATGTCAGGTGAGTTCTCCTCACTATATCAATAGGGTCTAAGGCACCAATGCCGACACTTATCGGATTTGTATCTGGGTTTATTGCATGATATGCTTATTGATTTACATCCTGGTAGTTAGGATGGTGATATGCTTAGTGACCTGGTTAGGTCATTATCCTGGTATATAGGATGATGTTATGTTGGTGACCCGGTTATGTCCGTATCCTGGTATATATAGGATAATGCTATGTTAGTGACCTAGTTAGGTCGGTATCTTGATATATATAGGATGATGCTATGTTAGTGACCGGTTAGGTTTGTATCCTGGTTATAGGATGTTGCTATGATTGATGATTTGATAGATCGGTTTGACTGTTATATATATGCTACCGTATGATATTATGTGCACATGTTTGTTTGATTGGTGGTTGGGTTGTGGCGGTCCTTCTTTGTGCTGAAGGCCAACATAGCCAGGACGATCCAGATAGACTACATGCCCAGGAGGGAATGTTAGTCACACCGAAGGCTCGACGAGCGGTCTGGATAGGCTGTAGGCCCTACGAGGCGGTCCAGACATGCCGAAGGCTCGGAGAGCGGTCCAGATAGGCTGAAGTCCTGCGAGGCGGTCCAGTCAGGCTGAAGGCTCATTATGCATGTTGTTTGCTTATATGTTATTGATATGTTTTATGACATTGGTATTTTGGGAGTAACTCACTAAGCCTTCAAGCTTACATTTATCGATTATTGTTTCAGGTACTTTTGATGATCGCGGGAAGATGAAGGCGTGATCGTGCATCCCTGATTGTTTACGTGTTATGTTTCAGCATTGTGATGACTCGCGGTGTGCCAGGAGGTTCAGGATCTGGATCGGGTTTGGGCTCGGGCGCCAAACCAATTGATGCGGTTTTACGCGAGTTCATCGCGTCCGAGATTATGAGAGGCATCCTTGATGCGACCCCCGTGATGTTTGGTTCGATGTAGGGTATTATCGAGTTAATGGAGGATCGCCTTCCGACCTTTAGGGCCGATATGGCCGCTAGTCAGTCCGGAGCCCGCACTCTCTCCTTCAAGGATTTTAGGGGTTGTGGGGGTACTAGAATTCTTTGGGGCGAAGGATCCCATTACAGCCAAACGTTGGATAGCAGACATTGAGTGTGCCCAAATGAGTAGCTTCAGCCCCGAGGGGTCGAAGGTGAGGTTCACTGCATGTTGCCCCTGAGGGAGCGAGCCCGGGATTGGTAGGAGGAGGTTGGCTATACTTTGGGAGCCCCTGCCATTGAGGCCATGACTTGGTCGGATTTTGTGACCTGGTTCCGAGTGGAGTTTGCACCAGTTGTTGAGGTGTAACAGCTAGCAAGGGAGTTCCTAGATATGTGACAGACGACTGAGACCGTGGCGGAGATCATTGCCAAGTTTAGAGAGAGAGCCATATTGGTACCCCAGTATGCCGCAAACGAGGAGATGCGGAATATTCGGTACCAGGACATGTTGAGATTAGATATTCGGGAGTTTTTCTGTTTTTCCGCCTGCCCGACACTGTATGACATGATATCCAGGGCCTAGGAATGGGAGATTAGTTTGGAGCATATAGGGAAGAAGAAGGCAGTACACAGGCAGATGACAGGGGTTTCAGCAAAGAAACCCAAGGGCTTCAATTCTAGATCAAAGGAACAGCAGGGCCGGAGCCGCTGTGGCAAGTACGACAGGGCACATGATGAAATCTGCAGAGCGGGTGGTTCGGGCTGCTATAAGTGCGGCAAGTCAGCACACTTCGGCAAGGATTATACTACTACTATTACCACCCATGGATCTTATCTGATTTGCTTTCATTGCTATCAGAGGGGCCATAAGAAGGCCAACTTTTCCGAGTTTAGCATGAGGAGGACCAGTAGCAACACTTACTCCAACGACTCTGAGAATCACCGATGGCCGCCAGGGCAAGGCCGAGGTGCCAGTTGTTCCGAGCAGGGAATTTCAGCTGACAACCGAGGAGGCTCGTGTAGCACCCGATGTGGTCACTGGTATGTATCTTCTCCTTACCTTTTCATTTATGTTATTTTTCATGATTATATAATCTTATTGTTGTTTAGGTTCATACTTGTGAACAATATTCCTACATTGGTCTTATTCGATTCGGGGGCTACCTGATCTTTTGTATCTCTTGCGCTTAGCAAGAAATTTGACGGTGTTCCGGGAGATTTGGATCATCCACTAGAGGTTGAGATTGCTGATGATCGTCCAGTGCGAGTGTCGAGGGTTCACCAGGGATGCACTTTGGAGTTATTCAGTGAGCAATATCCAATTGATTTGGTTCTGATTCCCCTGCGTGAGAGCAATGTTATTGTGGGGATGGATTGGTAAAGCCCTAGTGGGGCGATGATTGATTGTGGGCTTCAGTTGGTACGTGTTTGGACCCCAAGTGGGGGAGAGTTAGTGATCCACGGTGAGGGTGCTCAGCATAGGCCAGCTCTATGTTCGGCAACCAGAGCGAGGCGTTATCTTCACCAGGGATGTTTCGGGTTTGTTGCCTATGTGATGGATACCCGGGAGAAGGGTGATATGACCATTGATGATGTACTGATTGTTCGGGAATACCCAGATGTGTTCCCAGAGGATTTTCTGGGAGTGCCTCCGGAGAGGCAGGTGGAGTTTCAGATTGACTTGGTTCCAGGTACGACTCCAATAGCCAAAATACCTTATCGGTTAGCACCTCCATAGATGCAGGAGTTGTTTACACAGTTTCAGGAGCTGCTAGACAAGGGATTTATTCGGAAAAGTAGTTAGGGAGCACCGATCTTATTTGTGAAGAAAAAAGATGGGATGCATCGGATGTGTATTGACTACCAGGAGCTGAATAAGCTAACGGTGAAGAACCGTTACTCGCTCCCGAGGATCGTCGATTTATTTGATCAGCTTTAGGGTGCATTTCCAGGATTGATTTGTGTTTGGGTTATCACCAGATGAGGGTCAGAGAGGAGGACATGCAGAAGACGGCCTTCCAGACTCATTATGGTTATTACGAGTTCGTGGTGATGCCTTTCAAGCTCACCAATTCTCCAGCCGTGTTCATGGATATCATGAATCGTATATGCATTTCCATGCTTGATCGGTCTGTGATTGCGTTTATTGATGACATTCTGGTCTATTCTAAGACCCAGGAACGCATGAGAAGCATCTAATGGAGGTATTAGAGATATTCAGGAGGGAGAGATTGTACGCGAAGCTCTCCAAGTGCGAGTTCTGGTTGCGCGACGGGTAGTTTCTAGGGCACCTTGTTAACCAGAACGGTATTCTGGTCGATCCGGCCAAGATTGAGGCGGTGATGAGGTGGGAAGTTCCGAGGTCTCCATCTGAGATTTGGAGTTTCCTTGGATTGGCAGGTTACTATCAGAGATTCATTTAGGATTTCTCCAAGATAGTGGTTCCTTTGACCAGGCTAACAAAGAAGACTGTCACATTTCGTTGGGGGCTTGAGTAGCAGGCAAGTTTTGAAACCTTGAGACAGAGATTGTGTGAGGAACCGATTCTGACCCTGTCAGAGGGTGTTAAGGACTTTTTTTGTATATTGTGATTCTTCAGTCACGGGTTTGGGTGCATTATTTATGCAGCGGGGTCATGTGATCGCTTACGCTTCGAGGCAGCTGAAGCCTCATGAGGCGAATTACCGTACGCACGACTTGTAGT